GCTAAACAAACAACTAAACTGAAGTGACATGTTTGCATTTTGCGCTAACACCACTACTCTCCACTTTACACTGGCCTTTGAAACACCGCGAGAGGCCATAACTTCTCCACGTGTGCGCGCGCTATTGCACTGAAAAAGTTGGGTATTCGAAGGAAAAAAAACTGCTCAAGGTCATGAGGCGCACATGACGGTTTTTGTTTGACTTTCTCATCCCTGCCTGTTTAGCTTCCAGCGCTTTCGTCGGGACGAGAGAAGAGAGAATGTGATTGCAGTGTGTGACAAATCTTTGTAACTCCGCTTGTACTAAACAGATTCTCAAAATTTTTGCGGCCTTGAATTTGCGAGGCAATGCGCCTTTCCAAGTGAAATAATTCCATGGTTACTCGAAAAAGTGTTTCAGGGCCCCTTTAAATTTAGGGTGACTCTGGTGCATTTTCGACTATGGTGGGATAATGCCTTTTCAGATAGTATTAGCCCTCCTGCAACAGCTAGGGTGGTTCATTTTGTCAAGACACTTGTCAATAGTTTTAATTATGCAATGAACGATGAGTTAAAACAGGAAGCTAAGCAGCTCCATCCTCTATAGTGGGTGTCTGATGCCGTCACTAATCCGTATCCGATGATGTCACGAAATTCATTCCACAACACCACGGCTGGACAAAGTGTGAACATAACTCGCACGCCTTTGTGACGCATGAAAAGCAAGTTGGCAATGCCATCCATCCGGAATCGAGCTGTGCCAGCTTGTCTGCACTTACCAGTTCAACGATGATTGCAGCTAATATCTGAGTACAGAAGTATCGACTTTTAACTTCAACTTGTCGGCGCGTGAAGCATCTGACATGCCCTGAATCGATCTAATTGTTGCTCTACATTGTGCATGCTTGTGTAAGACACGACGTCAGGAACGTCTAACACCCTTTATGCAGCTGTAAAAATTGGACTGTGCTCACATTTCCATTGCCTCATAGAAGAAAGCCCGCACTGCATCCATCTGCTGGGCAAGGAAGGAATTCCGGGGTAAAAGTCGCATGCACTAAGTGGCCCGCGTTTACAAGTGTGATTTCAGAATTGGCTACCAATTTTAAAGTTGTTCTTCTAAAAAACTTAAATGATTACGGTTGCATGATTTCGCGCATATCGTTACGGTACTGACAAGAACGCATGTTCAAGGTTTTATTGAAATTGATGAATATTGAAAAATCGCCGCAGTTCCCTTTTATGTGGTGTAGTGTAGAATAGCCAAGAGATGGTGAGGGAAGTGAGGGGAAAGGATTTTTTTTGCCAAGGAAATATGTGAACGCGTGTAGCCATGAGCCAAAGGCTAGTGCCGTAACTACTCAGCGATTCAGGCACACTAGCATAGCATAGCATAGGAAGCCAAAGCAACGCATGATGGCACTGCGCCTCTGGACAGGCAGCACCATCTTTGGTAGAAAAGTAAAAATCGGGGATGCATATCGCGAGTTTTTCCTTCCCGCCGATGCGCTGCCGCTCGCTTACGTGCTTGTGCAGAAAGCGCGCGGTGCGTTTTAATCACATCGCAATGCATTGCATGCAGTGCGACTTCATAAAGATCTCTGAGCTGGACGAGCACTTCCGAGAAGCGAATCTAACAAAGTAAAGCTCGTTAGCCAAGTTTATGACGTGGAGCAGACGGCGGAAAAGGAGGACGCCCGAGTAACTGCGAAATGCATTTGTTAGGTCCATGACAATACCGTTTACGACGTATGCCTCGACGTAATTAAGTTTCATTCTGCTGACAAAACCGCGTACCCTATCGATGTGCTGCGTTATATAAAAACAATATAGTTGTTTTGATGCGGTATCTAACAGTAGCAGCCGTGTACTGCCATGTGGAAACATTTGGGCATGCGAAAAAATAAATAAAAGCTAACGCTATATGGTCATGGCATTAAAATGTCGGAGGCGTTTCAAAGTCATGTCTTTCGTGCCCCGGGAGGAGCATGGCTCGCTTACTTCGCCACGAAGCAGCAAGCTGAGCTTAACCCAAGTGAGTCAAGTTCAAGTGCTTGCCTCAGTCTTTTTTTTTTGTGTGGCTCTCGTGTCATGCTTGTTTTATTTTTCCCGAACACGGCTGCGTTCCTCGGCTGTGACTTGCTAAAAACTGATACAGCTTTACGCGTGGAGAGTGTCCATGGGTCTTGTCTGCATTGTTGTGGCAGCCCGCGACACATTACTTTGGACCTCACCAACGCTTCCCTGTGGCCCCTTCTTCCATCACGGAAGCCTGCACCGACTGAAAAGCCTGTTCCGCGCCTGTTGCACGCGCTCCCATTTCGGCGAAACACATTGACTCTCCTGCACTCTCCCCCGCGTCTACCCCCAAATTTTTCGGAGCCCGCCACCAGAGCCAGGTGCGCCATTGTCGTCGTTCTGCAAACTTGAGCTTCAGTTCCTTATATGCTTGTGTCCAAAGGATTGCAGAAGGGAGGGGGGGGGGGGGCGAATTGGAGGGAAAAGAAGTGACAAGTAGCATAGAAAGAAATTGAAGAATTTAAATATAAAAGCAAAAGAAATGCAAAATGAAGAAAGTATATAAAAAGAGGAAGCGAGAAATAGAAAGAAATGGAGCAATAGACGGAGATGGGAGGAGATAAAGGAAGTGACATACAAAGGGAGATATAGCGAGATAAGTAAGACATTAAAAAAAGGGAAATAAGCCGACAAAGAGCAAGTATATTCTGGCATAGTATAGTATAGCATAGTATGGCATAGTATAGTATAGCATCGTAAAAGGGACAGTGAGAGGGTAGAAGCCAAAGAGGACCACAGCTAGAAGCAACTAAGCCTTTTTTTTTTTTTTCTCGGAAATCCGTACAGATGTTCATGTAGCTTCGTGCTACAAAAGGGTGATTGTCTTTTTTCCCTTTCTTAACCTTTCTGCAACTTTGCGGGTTTACGTAGAACTTGTTAGCAAAGCTGAAGCATTTTAAAAACAGGTGCAGTTTGATGCCTACTGAATTTGAAAACCAATGTGGAAGTTCTCAAAAGCGAACACAAGGAGCATTTTGTGGCAAATATGGTGACATCATCTGCAACAGCAGTACTGGGGAACATGGCCTTTGCGATTAGCTCTGGAAGTGACACCTAGCCGGAGCTAGTCATGGAGGCTATGGGTGAAGATGTGAAGAACACTTGTTCACGTTGTGCTGGGTGTTCACGTTGTGCTGGGTTGTTGGCTGCAGAACCAGCTGCAGAACTATTAGCGTTGCTATACTCACACAGGCCTTCAAAGCATAAGCCTCGTTCTGTTCGGATCAGTGAGCGGTGGGAACCTTCCATCAGGTACGTAGTGCAGCTCTGCCAATGGAACCCAAGACTACATTTGTTTTCATGCCTCCACTTTCAAGGTGCTCGCATGGGCAGAGCTCAACCAACTTTTGTTTGGGATATTGTGAAACTCCTGCAGCAATAATTTCAATAAAACAATGTTGGCAGTAAAATTGATCCTTGTTGGCCACAAAGTTCTGATTGTCAGACCATTTCAACTTCCTATTAAACTGCCAGTAAACATCTCAGTTCAAAGCTTGTAATCAATCGACAACTTTGCAACGTGGACATGCTCCCGCAGGAATTTTGCTATTAAGCGGTGTCGCAAGGAAGTTGCAAGAGATGGAAAAACCCTTTTGTGTCTGCTTTACCGCGCAGCCTTTCTCAAACGCCATGTAGAAAAGCAGGTGCGGCCCACGTTGTGATTGTGCACTGGCACCGTCGCATGGTATCATTAGTGCGCTACCAATGGCCAAGCAAGGCTCATGTTACCCAAGGCAGCTAGTCGTAGGCAGTGCTGTGAGGAAGTGTAGCATGAGGCACCTACAAGGTAGATGAATATGCAACACATTTGACAACTGCACTGCCAAAACCGCATCACTGTAAGGCGAAGAGACAGTGCTGTAGCGTGGAGGACCCATTGACGAATTCGGGGCTCTTTTCCTGCGAAGGGAAATCACATTGCAACACAGAAGCATGTCATTGTTAGTATCCTCAAAAAAAATTTACTGATATGAAAAGAATAATGTTTAGGAGTGAAGCTCTTTAGGCTTGCACAATGTCTGTTGTTGCCATTGTCGTCATAGGTCCCAGTCAGAATGAAACACAGGTGTTACTGTGTAAAACATTGTTGTTACAAACTTGAAGGAAGACGAAAAAAGTCTTTTCTCTCGTCTTCCATCAAGTTTGTGCCAAGGATGTTTTACATAGCTACACACCTACTAGCCCGACAGCATAAGTTACAGGTGTTACAGGCATCGTACATAGAGCGTTCATAACGCTCATATGATTTTAAAGTAGACGGTACTCAGTTCGTCGTTTACACTAGTATTCGCAGATTTAAACGTAGACATCGTGGATCTTAGGACCTAGCTTTGCTCCATCATCGGCATTTGCTTCGTGGATCTGCAGTCATTTTGCTCTTTAGCATCCCCTGCAGTGTTCCGTGCCACAGTGTGCTGGCCTCATGCAAAAAGCATGCCTGGAATGGGAAGGGGCCACTGGCTGCTCTCATGAGGCATTTTTAATTACATACAATCATGCGCTATGTAATTATAAATTTAAGAGTCTAAAGCGTCATCATTCAGAGCTGTGACAGTGCTGTGGCCCTGAGAAACGATAAATAAAAGTTTGTTCATGTTATCTTTTGTATGGTTGACTACACCATCTCGCTGTGTCAAGGTTTTTTGCAGAAAGGGATGGGTTTTGTCGTTAAGAAGGGCAGCGTTGTAATGTTTACAATGCCTGCAAATGTCTCTGTGAGACAACGTAGTGTGCATTAGAATGATAGTGCCAGACAGACAGCAAAGAGGCTTTCACATCCGCTGCAGATGGCACCAGCACCACAGCAAAACATTGTCGTTGCTTTGGTGAAACAGGATAGTCATCAGGGCATAGATAGATGCTGTTCATGTGTGCCTGATAAAACCAGTTTTATGATAACCTTTACTGTACAATAGCTGTTGGGTGCTCTGCCTGCATTGCAGGGATCAGACAATGGCATTGAAGATAATCAAGAATGTGGAGAAGTATCGTGAGGCAGCCCGCCTAGAGATCAACGTCCTGGAGAGGTTGGCCAAGTGGGACCCATCGGGCAAACAGTGAGTGTTGAGCCCGAACCCTTGAGGTATCATTGTCTTACGTGCCCTTTTGACTCATGCATGCAGCTTGTGTGTCAAGATGCTGGACTGGTTTGACTACCATGGCCATATGTGCCTGGCCTTCGAGATGCTCGGCCTCAGTGTTTTTGACTTTCTGGTGAGTCCTAATTCTCTGGTAACAGTGGCAGACACCTTGCTGTGGATTCTTCCTTACAGGCATTGCCATGTTTGATCACACGATAATGGGCCCTTGGGCGTCGCAGAACATTTTGTTGCAAACAAGCCGACGTCAGGAGTTCTTGTTGACTGGTTGGTTGCTTTTGTACCACCTGTGATTTTTTCCTCTATGCCTGCGGCTTTGCGTGTGCTGGCTTGGTTGTTAGTGAGCGCCTCTCGCGCTTAGTGCTCAGGTCACAGTTTTGCATTGTAACATGGCCAGCTGTGTGTACCTTGCCAATGGAACTTCACCTGCCCAGCTCGGTGCTTTTTGATACCATAAATGCGAGGGGTGCTCTAAAAATGTGTCAAAATAAATTACTTTTGCGTACTCACACAAACGAGGCTTCCAGCAGTGATATCTGGGTCATATGCTACCTATTGCAAAAGAGGAAAGTGTACAATTTTTGTGTGTTTCATTAAGGCCTGTATGGCCTTCACCTACATCCAGGTTGTCAGAGTTCTTGCTTGACAAAGTTCGGCTTCCACAACATGCGGGGACAATTTCTGTAGTCAATAGACGAACTGCCACCAATAATGGCTTGTTCAAAGCCTGTGGCTGATGGCCTTTCATTGCTGACATTGCACTGTGCTTTGCTACCATTGTTGCTTAGCAGTTCCACTTTGTCATGCTGTAAATAAGATAGGTGATGGCACTTAGTGAAATGTTTACCATTCTGAATATCCTCTGTTCATTCTGTAGTAGCCCTTTTTTGCACTTGATTTAATGATTGTCACAAGTTAATATCATTATCTGCAATGTGAATCTACCTTAGCCGCCACACTCAAAGTGGGCTGAGGAGTTGTGTTGGCAGTGTAATTTTTAATAGTAAAACGCTACAAACGACTGGGAAAGTGCATGTTCTGTTTTGTGCCCTTCATTGGCTTCTTTTTGGACTGCAACTATATGGTTTCGAGCGTGTAGTTCCCGAGAGTGGTGCCGAGCACACTATGAAAAGCTATGCTGTGTGTTATCATTTATCCTGCAGTGGAACCTAATTAGTCATGTGGCTGAATTGCCAAGCACTCTATGAAGAGGTATGTTGGCTATTCTCATTATTTCTACCAGTGGAACCTAATTATTATATTTACTCGGAAATAGGTCGGACACGAATATAGGTTGACCCCTACCTATAGTGTTCAACGAGAGGAAAAAAATATATTCGAATGTAGGTCGACCAATGTTTTTTTTTTTTTTTTTCGAAACCGAGAAATTGAAACTAGGACACCTTTATTTACATAACTCAGCGCCCTAATCGCTGCCTTATCAGATGTGCAAGATGATGTCGTCATCGGATTCTTCGCGAGCATCCGCGATTTTTCAAACGGCGTTGTCCTTGCTGCTTTCGCTAACCCCTAATCAACGTCTCATTTACACAACACTCGCGCTGCATGGCAAAATTGCTCGAGTCCTCGGTAAAAAGTATCACTTGGCACTTGAAGTCAGCTGTGTTGCTTTGCGGACGTGACATCGTCGCAACCGCGCACAACGAAATGGTGGTGGTGGTTAGAAGAAGAAGGCGTCTAATTTCTGCAGCCCGGTAGCGAGCACGGCGCAGCGCCTAAAGCAAATGCGAACCGTCATCCCGTCACGCAGACCTTACAATAAACTAAGTGCGAGGCATCCACAGCGAGGCCTCAGGCCAGTGCGGCTGCGTGCCAGAAGGCAGTACTGGAAGCACGGCTAGCGGGCCAGGGACTTCATGGCCAACACATAGGGAAATCATGAGTTTCATCGCAAACACGGCAGCGCGGCTGCATTTCGCGGGGGCGGTACGCGGCTATTGCCTAAAAAACTTATTTCTCAATTTTTTAAGTAGTCGAAAAGGGGCAGGGAGGGGGGGTCTTTATTTCAGATTTCATGGTAAAACGGTATATAACGTGCATGCAGCAGGATCCGCTTGAAGAACAGCGGGTGCGGCAGCTCAACGCCATAATCTCTGTTCTTTTGGTAGGTTTGATCGTGAATAGGTCGACATCCTTTGGTCATGAATATAGGTTGATAGCTGGTTATGAACAACATTTTCGGAAAAAAGAAAGTCGACCTAATTCACTAAATATGGTAGTCATGTGGCGGAATTTGGTAATCTGTGTCCCCTCCTCCCACTGAACAGTCTTTCCGCATCTTATGATTTTCTTTCGACATCTCCTTCACTGTGTCAAATGCCAAGAAGTGCTTGAGGCCCGAACGTTGCTGTTGTGCGCAGAAGGACAACCACTACCAGCCGTACCCGATCGAGCAGGTGCGCCACATTGGCTACCAGCTCTGCTATTCGGTCATGTTTTTGCACGAGAAGCAATTGACGCACACGGACCTCAAGCCCGAGAACATTCTATTTGTCAACTCGGACTACGACATTAGCTACAATGCCAAGAAGAAGCGTGACGTGCGACGTGTCAAGGACACCAGCATCAGATTGATTGACTTTGGGTCAGCCACGTTTGACGAGGAGCACCACTCGACCATTGTGTCGACACGCCACTACCGAGCCCCCGAGGTGATTCTGGAGCTGGGCTGGAGCCAGAGCTGTGATGTGTGGAGCGTAGGCTGCATCCTGTTCGAGCTGTACCTGGGCGTCACCCTGTTCCAGACGCACGACAACCGGGAGCACTTGGCCATGATGGAGCGCATCCTCGGGCCACTGCCCTATCGCATGTGTCGCAAAACCAAGTGAGTAGGGCTGTCATTTCTGGGAGTCTCCCATTCTATTGCCTGCCTCCTTTTGAAGGGACTCTCACGTAACCATCAAATGGCTTTATTAATTGTTTATTGCCCCAGAAATTCACTGCCGCTAGAGTCTTTAGAATCCGTCGGTTATGAGCTGAGTGCTTTCTCTATTCTCAATGAGTACGCTGGACGATAAGCATGGAGAGATGGCTTGGAGTAAAAAAACTTCTGCATCATGATTTTTCTTCGAACGCATGACTTACTTTCAATGTGATTGCACTCCTGTGGTGGCCACAGCTCACAATGCTCAAATCAGCCAACAACTGTGAATTGGGGTAAATGGCATGATAACTAGGGTATGTGGCATCATTTGTAGAAAGAAGAAGGAACAATTTCAAGTAGACTTTGAGAATTAATGGCTGTGCGCTTTAAATCTGCACACTTGTCAAGTAAAAGGCGACTTTATCGTTTACCAATTAATTCAGCATGAAACAAACATACCTACGTACCTTTTAATGAACAAGCGAGAGCTGTCAACTGCACACACACACGTAAAGTTTATTTACACAAAAGTCGTAGCTGTTCCTCCTTTTCCCTATTCGGAGTCCGAGTCGGAGATCACACATTCATCCTCGCCGAGCGGGGATTCGTTTTCGGTGTCCGACTCATCCGCACCCCACAACATGTCATCCTCACTCGCATCGAGTGCGTTCGAGATACCCGTCTTCTTGAAGCTTTTCCTGACGACTTCGTCGGAGATCGCCTGCCACGCTTCCACAATCCAAGCGCACGGCATTTCCTCAGGCGGCCTCTTAATCTTACCTCCTGTAGTCAGCTGATGTTGTCCTCCAGCCATCCAGGTGGTGTACAGCCTTCGAACATTGTCCTTGAAAGGTTTATTCAAGGACACGTCCAAAGGCTGCAGTATCGATGTGAGGCCGCCCGGAATCACTGCCAGATCTGTGTGCAGCTCCTTTAGCTCATCTCGTACGCAATCTACTAGGTGCCCACGAAAACTGTCCAGGACAAGCATGGACGGCAACAACAGACCACCCGACCGCCGACCCCAGACTGTTTTCACCCAATCCACGATGAGTTCCGCGCTCATCCAGCCTTTTTCCTGGACTCTGACGTAGATGCCTTGAGGGAATTTTGCCTTTGGGAGCGTCTTACGTTTAAAAATAACGTAAGGCGGTAATGCCTGCTTGCAGCCCGGTTGCCGTGCTCCAGCGCGTACTGCACTGCCTTCAGTTTAAACCCAGCCGTGTAGCTCGCGTACTTCCCCATGGTGGAACCAAAGTTCAATACACGACCACAACATACGCACACCGCTTGCAAAATGGTGTTTTTTTCTTTTTCTCTGATGGTGGTGGCGATCGAGCCCCCGGCGTTGTACACGTGACCTCCAAAAAGCGCGGCGATTTGGGGGGTATCAGTAATTGATGGAACAGCCGTTTTTTGCTCATGGACGCTTTTTTTTTTCAAGTTTTATTTCGACAAACATGTTGGTTAGGTCGTTGCACTTCGAATTTTTTTTATTTGCTCGTCGATTTGCCTTCTTTTTTTCTTCAGGGTACGGGGACCGCGTTCCAACTGTACCGCTGGGGGGTAGAATCGTTTCTGATCACGGCCAAGTTCGGGGTGCGCCTATTATGCGCGGAATTTAAAAAAATCGAATTTTCCGCGACCAAACTAGGGGTGCGCCTATTATGCGAGTGCGCCGATTATGCGAGTAAATCTGGTATGTTCATCGAGATAGGTTAGCAAGTGCTTTGATACAATGTGCTCTTTTTTTGAACAGGTGCTTGTAAGCGATATAGGTCGGTAGTTGCTAGCGTGAGATGCGAAACCGCCTTTGTGTATGGGCACGATTTTTGCACATTTCCAAGCGCTGAGAAAAGAGCCACTATTAATGGATGATTGAAAAATAATGTTAAAAGTTTCGATGACCATTCGGCATATCTATAAAGAAATTCATTGGGAATATTGTCAGGACCAGGGATTTTTTTTCTGTATTTATATGAAGCGAGAGGTTTAGAACACCCTCTTCAGTGATGCTTATATCCTGGATAGGAATCATATCTAAGAAATCGCTGATGTTGGGCACAGTAGCATCATCGATTGTAAAAACCGACGAGAAGAAGGAATTAAACGCCTCTGCCTGATCCCTGCTACTTCTATGATTAGACATACTACTCGGCCTGGTAGAAGGATTCACGTACCTCCAAAATTTGTCTGGGGATTCTTTCAGAAGTTGTTTTAACGTTGAGTTATAAAACTTATTTTTAGAAGTCTTTACACTTTGCCAGAGGCTTTTGCTTAAAACCTGGACGTTCTTTTTTTTTTTCAATGCTTGGATTCACAGAGCTTGCCTTTCCCTTGCATTTAGGTTTTCTTTTAGTGTGTATTATATCTCGTGTAATCCAAGGGTTTCGTTTCCTCACATTCTTATGACGTTTCGGAATGAATTGTTGGATGCAAAACATTATCGTTGAATGAAAAAACCGCCACAGTTCTTCTGTTGAACGATATGTTCGATACATTTCCAGAAATGAATAATATGACTGCTCCAGATGTTCTAGTATGGCTAAGTCGTTTGCGGCACTAAAATTTGGGATCATAAGTTTTTCATCATTGTGCATGGCATTGACATACAGATCTAAAGACGATAAAACCATTTTATGATCAGAAAGACCATCCTCAATTTCACACATACCAAGAAACGGGAGCAGTGATCCAGATAAGAACATCAAATCAAGCACTGAAGAAGTGGTTGGACCCACACGCGTACAAGATGAGACGACCTGAGTCAGATCGTAGCAGAAAGCGAGCTCTAGCAGCTGATCACCTTTAATGACTTCGCTTCCCTCTGAAGTGAGCGTCGACCAATTAATTTCAGGGAGGTTAAAGTCTCCTATAAGGATAATATTATCATCATGCTTCAGGTGGGAATCCATAAAGCTTCTTAAGGGGAGACGCTACTCGAAAACACTTTTTCTTTAGTTTTCAAGTTAGGGTTTCAAAAATTTAGCCACAGAGGTATTTTTTCTTGTAGATTCCAAAACTGTTATCAGATTTTGTATGGCCTCATTACTTTTAAAGTTACTATAGATGCAATAGCAAAACAAAGGTATTTTTACTCTCACTTTTTCGACATCAAAACTTTTGTGTAGATGTTTGTGTAACAGCTTATTATGCTTGTCATAAACTACTGTGTGCATTTAAGAGGTTAAAATTGAGGAAAAAAGCTGTCACTACAAAAAATGAACAGATCTGCCAAACTTCTTTTTTTCAGGGTTCCTTGTATCATTTCCTGGTATGTTTTTATTGATAATGGCTATGTATCATAAATCAGAATAGATAACGGCACTCTACACACCTTGAAGAATGGGTGTGCCAAGTTTCATCGCAATAGGACAATTATAAGGGGATGAAACTATGTGAGTGAAATGTGACCGTGGCCAAAAATTTCAAAATGAGAAAAACATATTTGAAAGTTTGAAACATGTTTACTAATTAGGGTGCACTTGCAAACACTCAAAAGTGTGTTCAATTTACAGGCAGTATGTCCAGGAGCTGGCCACGGTGACTAGAATTCACCCGCACTGTATGTAACTCCTTCGCGATCCTTCCGAGCGGATTCCTGTAGGCGAGCTCTCGTGGCCGATGCGCGGCGGTGAGCCCTCACCTCTGCAGTCTGTTGGGCATTCATCTTCTGAATGCGCCTCTTGTCGCTGTAGTCTTCCAGGGTGGTCAAGCTTGCTGGTGGTAGAACACCAAGCTCCTCCAGGACCACCTCGAAGCTTGCATGGCCCCGGTTATACCAGAGCACAGCAATGGCTGTGGCAGTTTCCACAGCACTTCGGGAAGCAAACTTTGTTTTTGGGCACAGCAGCCACACCTTGCCGTTGAGAGACTCAGCAGCGTTCTGAGTTTTCCCTCGAAGGCATTGGGTCAGCAGCTTCTCGTCAGAAAGGTGCTTGTATATGGGCAGCAGTGCTGAGTTTTCCCTCGAAGGCATTGGGTCAGCAGCTTCTCGTCAGAAAGGTGCTTGTATATGGGCAGCAGTGCCCGGCCCTGTGCCTTTGTCAGAAGTGGTGTATGCTGTGGTGCAGGCTCGCCCATTGCTTCAGCACGCTTGTGCTTGCACCACGTTTCTTGGCCTGGTGGGCAGAAGTTGTGGCTGCCAGCACCATCAGGGGAGCAAGAGTGAAAGTAGGACGCCCATATGGCAGTGTACATGTCCCGTAGGTTGCCTCTATTGCCCGTGATGGCGATGTGATATGTCTGCAGCTTTTCAATGGTGGCAGGCTTGAGCTTCTCGCCTCTGGGCAGTGGTGTCGGCAATTTGCGTATGCCAGTGCCTAGGCGCTTCGCAACATGATTAGTGCAGTCCTCCTTGCAGATGGCACCTGCACCGTACACCTTGGCATCACAAACTCCGTTATATGCTTTACTGTCGCCATCACTAAGAAATGTTGTGAAGCGAAGTGGAGTCTCACACAGCAAAGTGCGCTCCCATATCCGTAGTGCTGCTTCAGCTTCCTTGCCATGAGTGGAGCTATCAGTGTTCTTCTCACAGACAGGTCTGTGGTAGGCCTGCCGGATTTCCTCTTCAGAGCCCATGTCGTTGTGTAGACTGCAAGCGTGGCAATAATTCGACAGGACTTCGAAATCTAAGCACAGGCCGGTGTCCAGGGAGATAGCCGCACCGACTTCGTTGTGGCTTTTATGGCCCCGTTTCTGCCAAGTTCCGTCATACATTACGGCCACGTCACTACCATCAACCACTTGCTTTGTTACGGCTCTTGCCTGGTTCAAATTTTCGGTTACGGCCTTCATAGCAGCATCGTGAACCGTCTTGCTGATTGCCTGGAAGGTTTTGTGGTGCATGGGCTTCGCTTGTCCAACAATCGCACAAAACCGCGAAAGCTGGTCATGTCCAATGCCTATGGCACACGAGGCTTCAACAGCTTTCACATTAGCCGCGAAGCTATCGCGCG